ATGAAAGGGGGTAAAGCAGCTGGAACTGATGGGATCATGACAGAAATGTTAACAGCAGGGGGAGATAGTGTTGGAATGTTTGGTATTTTTGTTTAATGAATGTATGAAAGAGGGGAAGGTACGTAGGGATTGACGAAGAACGTGTATAATTCCTTTATATAAAGGGAAGGGGGACAAAAGAGATTGTAAAAATTATTGGGGAATACAGTGGTCCCTCGTTTTTCGTAATTAATTCGTTCCAGAGATGTGACTATTATTGAAATTGATGATTTGCGAAACCATTTTCCTCCTAAGAAATAATGTAAATACAATTAATCTATTCCAGACACCCAGAAGTTTACTGAGTATACCAGGAAAAGTGTATGGTAGGGTTATTATTGAAAGAATTAGAGGTAAGACAGAATGTAGGATTGTGGATGAGCAAGGAGGTTTTAGAGTGGGTAGGGGATTGTAGATAGTGTTTACATTGAAGCATATATGTGAACAAGATAAAGGTAGGGAAGTTTTTATTGCATTTATGGATTTAGAAAAGGCATATGATAGTGGATAGGGGAGCAATGTGGCAGATGTTGCAAGTATATGGAATAGGTGGTAAGTTACTAAATGCTGTAGAGGTTTTATGAGGATAGTGAGGCTCAGGTTAGGGTGTGGAAGAGAGAGAGAGAGAGAGAGAGATTACTTCCCAGTAAAAGTAGTCTTAGACAGGGATGTGTAATGTCACCATGGTTGTTTAATATATTTATAGATGGGGTTGTAAGAGAAGTAATTGCTGGGGTGTTTGGGAGAGGGGTGAGATTAAATTATGGGGAATCAAATGCAGAATGGGAATTGACAGTTACTTTTTGCTGATACTGTGCTTATGGGAGTTTCTAAAGAAAAATTACAAAGGTAAGTGGATGAGTTTGGGAGTGTGTGTAAAGGTAGAAAGTTGAAAGTGAACATAGAAAAGAGTAAGGTGATGAAGGTATCAAATGATTTAGATAAAAATTGGATATCAAATGGGGGATGGGGAGTATGGAAGAAATAAATGTTTTTAGATATTTGGGAGTTGACGTGTCAGCGGATGGATTTATGAAGGATGAGGTTAATCATAGAATTGATGAAGAAAAAAAGGCAAGTGGTGCGTTGAGGTATATGTGGAGACAAAAAAACGTTATCTACGGAGGCAAAGAAGGTAATGTATGAAAGTATAGTAGTACCAACACTCTTATATGGGTGTGAAGCTTGGGTTGTAAATGCTGAAGCGAGAAGGCGGTTGGAGACAGTGGAGATGTCCTGTCTAAGGGCAATGTATGGTGTAAATATTATGCAGAAAATTCGGAGTGTGGAAATTAGGAGAAGATGTTGAGTTAATAAAAGTATTAGAGGGCTGAAGAAGGGTTCTTGAGGTGGTTTGGTCATTTAGAGAGAATGGATCAGAGTAGAATGACATGGAGAGCGTATAAATCTGTAGGGGAAGGAAGGCTGGGTAGGGGTTGTCCCCGAAAAGGTTGGAGGGAGGGTAAAGCAGGTTTTCATGGGCGAGGGGCTTGGACTTCCAGCAAGCGTGCGTGTATGTGTTATAGGAGTGAATGGAGACGAATGGTATTTGGGACCAATCGAGCTGTTGGAGCATGAGCTGGATTCAGGGAAACTGGTTTGCTGGACTTGAGTCCTGGAAATGGGAAGTACAATGCCTGCACTTTAACCCTTTGACTGTCGCAAGCCCCCTTTGTGAAACTCATTCTGTCGCAAAATTTTTGGGCAAAAAAAAATTATTTTTTCTTGCGAAATGATAGAGAATCTTTTCCCAATGGTGATAACACCAAAAGTACGAAATTTGGTGGAAAACTTGTGAAATTACACTCCCGCAAAGTTAGCAGTCTCGGCGATATATACACATCGGCGATTTTGCTGATTTTGAGCCCTGTTTTTGACCAATTCCATTGTTCCAGTTGACCAAACTCATAGCTATTTCTTTAGAACTTCATTTTTTCTATCAGTTGAGTACAAGAAACCACCCATTTACCGATTTGAACTACCCAGTAAAGTGGTCAGAAATTGGCAATTTGGCCAATTTCACGCAAATTTAAAAAGATGCCAGTTTCAAAATAGGGTTCAGAATAAACAATGTAGACATTCTTGGCACTAAAATAACATATCCTCTATTCATTAGTCACGTCTCTAGACCCCTCTTATATTATTATTGCTTTCTATTTTGATTTTTTATTCATACAAAAAAATACAAAATTTACTATTATGCAGACTACTGCATTATTGTAAAAATGGTATAAATAATATCAGTGCACTAGTGAAAGAATATTAGGCTCCCCAGTTGACGTGTATTGGACGTGTAATGTGATTTGCTTACTCCTGAACATTGGTAAAAATCGAACATTTCCACTGCTTTGAGCTCAATTTCAAGGTCGTTTTCATCGTGAAACTAATCAAAATCATCTCTATTTCTGTAATGCGTTTTCCATTTTATCACGTGAGACCATGAAAACGAGAATACAACAATAAATACTATACGAAAATACACCTCAAAGTCGGCGTTTTAATTAAAAAGAACGGTCAGCTTTTTTTCTCATTATGCACTGCGTGCTGCAGGATTTTTTTTATGTGGTGCACACTGACACTGACCCATTCTCTCACATGTGGGCCTACCAGCTTTCTCCTGCTTGATTTGAAGCCGCTAGAATTTATGCATATTAATACGTCCGAAACACTGGCTCGTAAGACGTATATATACGACCAAAACAGTCAAAGGGTTAAAGGAGGGATTTGGGATATTGGCAGTTTGGAGGGACGTCTAAGCTGTCGTATTTGAGCACCTCTGCAAAAGCAGTGATTATGTATGAGTGATGGTGAAAGTTTTTTTTTTTTTTTTGTGGGAGGGGTTGTCACCCTGCCTCCATGGGAAACGGCCGATGTGTTTAAAAAAAAAATCAATGCATTCTATACATTCGTCTTTAACCCTTTCACTGTCAAGACCCCTGCTCACAAACGTGGTCTCAGTGTTGAAGAATTTAAAAAAAAAAATAATTATTTTTTCTTATGAAATAATAGAGAATCTTTTCCCAATGGTAATGACACCAAAAGTACGAAATTTGATGACAAACTTGGGGAATTATGCTCTTGCGAAGTTAGCAGTCTCGGGGATGTATACGCATTGGCGATCTCACTAAATTTGAGCCCTATTTTTAGGCAGTTCCATTTTTCCAGTCTACCAAACTCGTACCTATTTTGCTAGAACTCTATTTGTTCTGTCAATTGAGAAACCGTCCTTTAGGTTGTACTATAGACACACACTCAATTACATTAAGTAAATTATGAACTTTGTATTTCTTTTTTAAAAGTAAAATAAGGTGTAGTAATGGAAAAAAACAAAATTATTGTAGTAGCTGAAGAATTGGGCATGTTGACATTTGTTTGTTGTTGTTGGGTAAATGGGAAGAGGCTAGCTGGCTCTCTTGTGATTGTGGTGCCAGTATGGCAAGACCTTCTCCTCCACTCTTGCTTCTGGGCAAGATGAGTGCCCTAGAGGTAAGATTTGTACTTGAATATGATGTAACCATTATACCCAAGGTGATTACAGTGTGTCAGAATGCTGGGTTAAGGTCATCAGGAGGGAAGGAGTACTAATTGTTTCAGTTGTGGCTGTACTGGCTGAGCAGCTAAGGGTGTGCATGCTTTTGTTATGAATAGGAAAATTCCTAACTTGTATATATTCTGTATATACCTGTCTAGAATATATTCCTATTTTTGTAATAGTAGTTTAACCTGTTGAGAGGGTTAGTGAAAACATTTCAGAGACTGAGGACGGCCAGTCATGAATATAAGTATTCCCCTAGATTTTAAAAGGCCTTATTTAACCCTTTTAGGGCCCAGAGGCCAAATTTCAAAGTGCAAACCAGGGTCCAAGAATTTAAAAAAAAAATTTTATTTTTTCTTATGAAATGGTAGATAATCGTTTTCTGAAGGTAATAAAACAAAAAGTACAAAATTTGATGGAAAATTGACAAAATTATGCTCTCGCGAATTTTGATGTGTCAGTGATATTTATGAATCTGCGATTTTGCCGACTTTGACTCCCATTTTAGGCCAATTACATTATTCCAGTCGACCAAATTCTCTAGTATTACTTCTATTCTATCGATTGAGCACAAGAAATTGCCAAGTCAACTGTTTCAACTACAGAATAAAGTAATCGGAAATTGGTAATTTGGCCAATTTAACACAGTTCAAAATATTCCAATTTCAAAATAGGGTTCAGAATAAACAATGTAGGTATTCCTGGCACTAAACTAATATTTCCTCTGTTCATTAGTTACGTTTTGAGGCTTTACAAATGAATTCCATTTTGATTTTTTATTTACTTAATTAATTTTTATTCAAACTAAAAAATAGAAGATTTACTGTTATGCAATATTGTAATAATTGTATAAATATCATCACCACATTTGTGAATGTATATTAGACCCACCAGCTGGCGTGTATTAGACGTGTGAGGTCGTTTGTTTACTCTTGAACATTGGCAAAAATTTTACATTTCTGCTACTTTGAGCTCAGTTTCAAGCCATTTCCAGTGCTAAAACCAATCAAAATCATCTCTGTTTCTGTAACATATCTTCCATTCTATCAAATGAGACCAAGAAATCACAAATACAACTATAAAAGACATACGAAAAAACAGTGCAAAGTCGCTGTTTTAATCGAAAAACACGGTCTCAGTTTTTCTCTCTCATACACTGTGTGCTGCAGGATTTGTTTTATGTGGTGCACACATACCACATAGATGTATTCTCTCATATTTAGGCCCAAATTTACCACTCACAGCTTATCAGAGTGAGCTGAGCTCATGGCATAGATCTATGGTTTGAACCCTGAACGTAAAGCCGTAGAACTATGGCACGGACTCTGAAAGGGTTAAGCTATCCCACACTAGGACATGTAGTGAGAATGATACCATCGAAGTGAAATGGTGAAAACAACATAACATAATTTTATTTGCTTTTCAGCTAGAGGAAGCTAAGCAACTGGTTCGTGATGCAATAGCTGGTGGTGTATTCAATGACCTGGGTTCAGGTTCCAACATAGATTTGTGCATTATTACAAAGGATGGTGCAACAATGATTCGGCCCTATGATGTTGCCAATGTGAAGGGGCAGAGGTAAGGAAATTTCGTATCTATATTGATGTAACATTATCTTATGCTAAGAGATGTATGCAAATTCTTCTTGGGGCATCCCTATCTCAACATTTTATCATTGTTTTACTAATTACAGGATCCAGTCCTTAGTACTACTAGAACTGTGCATTGTAGTTACCACCCCGAGACTAAAAGTACTTTCTAACATCCCTATGTCTTGTCTGTCTTTAGCTGTCACCTATGTTCCTAGGCTTACCCTCTTCATTTATCAAGCATCCTGTCTCCATACACTGTAATTCTCAGTGTTTTGTATGTCATGGTGGTGTTTTCCTTGGCTGTCCTCTTCTAGTGTTGTATGCATGAGCATGGGAATGTTGCATCTTGCAAGGTTTGTTGAATTGTGATGTTAGTGCATTTCAGGCAAGATACCATTTGAATTTGTTGTTGAATATTTTTTTTTTTTTTTTTTTTTTTTTTTTTTTTTTTTTTTTTTTTTTTTTTTTTTTAGGGGGTGGGGAACTGGGGATCACTCTACCTTTGCAGACAGCTAAAATGTTAACCCTTTAGGCGTGGGTTCTGTTGTACTACGGTATCGAAGTATGGGTTGGTCCTATAGACTACAGTAATCTCAGCTCACTCAGATAAGCTGTGAGCAGTAAATTTGCGCCTAGATATGAGAGAATTGGTCTGTACAATAAGTGTGTACCATATAAAAAATCCTGCAATAAGCAGTGCATAATGGGGAAAAAAAATTGTAACTCTGGTTTTGGTTTACAACAGTGACTTTGCAGTGTATTTTGTATGGAGACGAATGGTATTTGGGACCTGACGATCTGTTGGAGTGTGAGCAGGGTAATATTTAGTAAAGGGATTTAGGGAAACCGGTTATTCTTATATAGCTGGACTTGAGTCCTGGAAATGGGAAGTACAATGCCCGCACTCTAAAGGAGGGGTTTTGGGATATTAGCAGTTTGGAGGGATATGTTGTTTATCTTTATACGTATATGCTTCTAAACTGTTGTCTTCTGAGCACCTCTGCAAAAACAGTGATTATGTGTGAGTGAGGTGAAAGTGTTGAATGATGAAAGTATTTTCTTTTTGGGTCACCCTGCCTCGGTGGGAGGCGGCTGACTTGTAAAAAAAAAAAAAAAAAAAAAAAAAATCTCCAATTCTTGGCCTCATTTGATAGAATGGAAGATTGTTTTTTTTTCAACAAACCGGCCGTATCCCACCAAGGCAGGGTGGCCCAAAAAGAAAAATGAAAGTTTCTCTTTTTAAATTTAGTAATTTATACAAGAGAAAGGGTTACTAGCCCCTTGCCCCGGCATTTTAGCCGCCTCTAACAACACGCATGGCTTACGGAGGAAGAATTCTGTTCCACTTCTCCATGGAGATAAGAGGAAATAAACAAGAACAAGAACTAGAAAGAAAATAGCAGAAAACCCAGAGGGGTGTGTGTATATATATGCTTGTACATGTGTGTGTAGTGTGACCTAAATGTAAGTAGAAGTAGCAAGACATACCTGAAATCTTGCATATTTATGAGACAGAAAAAAGGGCACCAGCAATCCTACCATTGTGTAAAACAATTACAGTGGACCCCCGCATAACGATTACCTCCGAATGCGACCAATTATGTAAGTGTAATTATGTAAGTGCGTTAGTACGTGTATGTTTGGGGGTCTGAAATGGACTAATCTACTTCACAATATTCCTTATGGGAACAAATTCGGTCAGTACTGGCACCTGAATATACTTCTGGAGTGAAAAAATATCGTTAACCGGGGGTCCACTGTACTCACTTGGCAGGACGGTAGTACCTCCCTAGGCGGTTGCTGTTTACCAACCTACTACCTAAAAGAATGGAAGATATATTACAGATATAGAGATGATTTTGATTGGTTTCAGGATTTAAAGTAGCTTGAAATTGAGCTCAAATTAGTGAAAATGATAGATTTTTGCTGATATTCCAGAGTACAGAAATTGTCACTTGTCCAGTATGTGCCCAACTGGTCAATATAATGTGTGTCCACAAATGTGCTGACATTCTTTATACAATTATTACAACAATGCAGTAGTATGCATAGCAGTAAATCTTCTATTTTTTGTGTGGATAAAAATTCAGAATGGAAAGCAAGCATAATATAGGAGAGGCCTGGGGACATAACTGATGAATAGATTAAATGCTCCACATTTACAAATCCAGCCCACTAACAGAATAAACATTACCGAAGCAATAAGCTTTGATAATTCTATTTACTCGCATGCAAGTCCCACTCAAATCCAACCCCTCTCACTCACGTATTTATGCAACCTTATTTTGAAACTACCCAAGGTTTTAGCTTCGATAGGACCTTGGGTAGCTTTAAAAAGAGATTGAACATATTTATTTATTTATTTATTATTAATTTGGAGTTTGGGGTGCCAGGTGTAAATGATAATGGGAGCCCTTTGATTGAACTTTGTATAGAAAGGGGTTTAGTTATAGGTAATACATATTTTAAGAAAAAGAGGATAAATAAGTATACAAGATATGATGTAGGGCAAAATGACAGTAGTTTGTTGGATTATGTATTGGTAGATAAAAGACTGTTAAGTAGACTTCAGGATGTACATGTTTATAGAGGGGCCACAGATATATCAGATCACTTTCTAGTTGTAGCTACACTGAGAGTAAAAGGTAGATGGGATACAAGGAGAATAGAAGCATCAGGGAAGAGAGAGGTGAAGGTTTATAAACTAAAAGAGGAGGCAGTTAGGGTAAGATATAAACAGCTATTGGAGGATAGATGGGCTAATGAGAGCATAGGCAATGGGGTCGAAGAGGTATGGGGTAGGTTTAAAAATGTAGTGTTAGAGTGTTCAGCAGAAGTTTGTGGTTACAGGAAAGTGGGTGCGGGAGGGAAGAGGAGCGATTGGTGGAATGATGATGTAAAGAGAGTAGTAAGGGAGAAAAAGTTAGCATATGAGAAGTTTTTACAAAGTAGAAGTGATGCAAGGAGGGAAGAGTATATGGAGAAAAAGAGAGATGTTAAGAGAGTGGTGAAGCAATGTAAAAAGAGAGCAAATGAGAGAGTGGGTGAGATGTTATCAACAAATTTTGTTGAAAATAAGAAAAAGTTTTGGAGTGAGATTAACAAGTTAAGAAAGCCTAGAGAACAAATGGATTTGTCAGTTAAAAATAGGAGAGGAGAGTTATTAAATGGAGAGTTAGAGGTATTGGGAAGATGGAGGGAATATTTTGAGGAATTGTTAAATGTTGATGAAGATAGGGAAGCTGTGATTTCGTGTATAGGGCAAGGAGGAATAACATCTTGTAGGAGTGAGGAAGAGCCGGTTGTGAGTGTGCGGGAAGTTCGTGAGGCAGTAGGTAAAATGAAAGGGGGTAAGGCAGCCGGGATTGATGGGATAAAGATAGAAATGTTAAAAGCAGGTGGGGATATAGTTTTGGAGTGGTTGGTGCAATTATTTAATAAATGTATGGAAGAGGGTAAGGTACCTAGGGATTGGCAGAGAGCATGCATAGTTCCTTTGTATAAAGGCAAAGGGGATAAAAGAGAGTGCAAAAATTATAGGGGGATAAGTCTGCTGAGTATACCTGGTAAAGTGTATGGTAGAGTTATTATTGAAAGAATTAAGAGTAAGACGGAGAATAGGATAGCAGATGAACAAGGAGGCTTTAGGAAAGGTAGGGGGTGTGTGGACCAGGTGTTTACAGTGAAACATATAAGTGAACAGTATTTAGATAAGGCTAAAGAGGTCTTTTTGGCATTTATGGATTTGGAAAAGGCGTATGACAGGGTGGATAGGGGGGCAATGTGGCAGATGTTGCAAGTGTATGGTGTAGGAGGTAGGTTACTGAAAGCAGTGACGAGTTTTTACGAGGATAGTGAGGCTCAAGTTAGAGTATGTAGGAAAGAGGGAAATTATTTCCCAGTAAAAGTAGGCCTTAGACAAGGATGTGTGATGTCACCGTGGTTGTTTAATATATTTATAGATGGGGTTGTAAGAGAAGTAAATGCGAGGGTCTTGACAAGAGGCGTGGAGTTAAAAGATAAAGAATCACACACAAAGTGGGAGTTGTCACAGCTGCTCTTTGCTGATGACACTGTGCTCTTGGGAGATTCTGAAGAGAAGTTGCAGAGATTGGTGGATGAATTTGGTAGGGTGTGCAAAAGAAGAAAATTAAAGGTGAATACAGGAAAGAGTAAGGTTATGAGGATAACAAAAAGATTAGGTGATGAAAGATTGAATATCAGATTGGAGGGAGAGAGTATGGAGGAGGTGAATGTATTCAGATATTTGGGAGTGGACGTGTCAGCGGATGGGTCTATGAAAGATGAGGTGAATCATAGAATTGATGAGGGAAAAAGAGTGAGTGGTGCACTTAGGAGTCTGTGGAGACAAAGAACTTTGTCCTTGGAGGCAAAGAGGGGAATGTATGAGAGTATAGTTTTACCAATGCTCTTATATGGGTGTGAAGCATGGGTGATGAATGTTGCAGCGAGGAGAAGGCTGGAGGCAGTGGAGATGTCATGTCTGAGGGCAATGTGTGGTGTGAATATAATGCAGAGAATTCGTAGTTTGGAAGTTAGGAGGAGGTGCGGGATTACCAAAACTGTTGTCCAGAGGCTGAGGAAGGGTTGTTGAGGTGGTTCGGACATGTAGAGAGAATGGAGCGAAACAGAATGACTTCAAGAGTGTATCAGTCTGTAGTGGAAGGAAGGCGGGGTAGGGGTCGGCCTAGGAAAGGTTGGAGAGAGGGGGTAAAGGAGGTTTTGTGTGCGAGGGGCTTGGACTTCCAGCAGGTATGCATGAGCGTGTTTGATAGGAGTGAATGGAGACAAATGGTTTTTAATACTTGACGTGCTGTTGGAGTTTGAGCAAAGTAACATTTATGAAGGGGTTCAGGGAAACTGGCAGGCCGGACTTGAGTCCTAGGGATGGGAAGTACAGTGCCTGCACTCTGAAGGAGGGGTGTTAATGTTGCAGTTTAAAAACTGTAGTGTAAAGCACCCTTCTGGCAAGACAGTGATGGAGT